TCACGCTTTGTCCTCGGTCCCTCAGCAACACGGGGGTCACCGTTTCCCGGTGGCTCTTCTTTCAGCAACAGGCGTGGAGAGGAACAGCCCACCCAGGAGGGCCATCCTGGCCGAGAGCTGGGGACACGGAAATGAATGCCACCATGTCCTTTCTGGAGAAGTAAATCCAAGATGTTCTGCTCTGGTGTAGAGACCAAAGCATTTAATAGATTTTTGTTGATTTCAGAGAGGAAGGGGGAGGGAGAGAGACAGCAACATCAACGATGAGAGAGAATCCTGCCTCCTGCATGCCCCCTACTGGGGATCAAGCCTGAAACCCAGGCAGGTGCCTTGAACAGGAATCCAACTGTGACCTCCTGGTTCATGGGTCGATGCTCAACCACTGAGCCACACCGGTCACTGGGTGAGACCAAGGCATTTAACGTGAAGATTCGCCTGAGAACTGGAAACTTGCCCCAGCATGCATTGCCTCTTCTCTCTATCATTGTGGTTGGCGGGTAGGGGGGTGGAAAGAGCTGCATATTACAGAACTTATGACACACAGATAAAGAGGAAACTGTGATTGTCCCAAAACAATCAGAGAGAGAGAGAGAGAGAGAGAGAGAGAGAGAGAGAGAGAGAGAGAGATTGCATCTTATGGTGACAGAGGAGGGAGGCGATTAGAATATGATTCTCTGGGCCCTTGTGTATGAAGGGAGGGGAAGCGTCTTCAGAGCAAGGAGGGCGCCTGGGAGCCCAGGGTGGGTTTTGGTGTCACTTCCCCATGAACCCGCACCACTGTGGAGAGTGCTGCTGTCTGTATATCGATATGAGCAACAGTGATAATCGGCCTCGTCCTCGGCCTGCAGCCCCGCGATGGTCAGGGTGGCCGTGTTGCCAGACTTGGAGCCAGAGAAGCGCTCAGGGATCCCCGAGGGCCGACTGCTGACACTATAAATCAGGAGTTTAGGGGCCGTGCCCGGGCGCTGTTGGAACCAGGAGACAAGGTTATAACCACCGACATCATTGCTGCTCCCAGCACAGGAGATGGTGACCGTCGTCCCTGGAGTCCCAGTCACTGAGGGCGGCTGAGTGAGGGGAGCCTGGGCCAAGGACCCTGAAAAGAGTAAACACACTCTGGTGAGCTCAGTGCGGGGCCCGGGGGCCTGGAGGAGGCAGAGTCAGCCCAGGTGTCCGTGTCCCTCCCCGGAGGCCTCACCTGTGCCCTGAGAGAGGAGGCTGAGGAGGAGCAGAGCCCAGGCCATGGTGGAGGTGCCCTGAGAGCGCTGCCTTCTGAGACCCCAGCCTGAGCCTGGCTCCCCCAGCCCTCTCTTATCCCCTCCCTCTGCCTCAGAGGAGGGAGGGGCGTCCATGCAAATCCACTTCCTGCACCTGCCTCTTCTCACTCCACTCTGACTTGACCTGGAGTCTAGATAGGCCTGCTTCCCTGGACAGCAG